TCTGGCACCAGTGCTAAACCTTCTTCTTCCAGGAGCAGAGGAATGAGCCCATACACCGTTTTCTATTCCATCACCTGTAGATGGCTCTTCATATTCTATTAATGTCAGATGAATGGGTGACGCAGTTCAGGATTCTTAAACAGCTGTCAACACAACCCCTAACTTGGCCTCCATGGGAAAGGAGAAGAAAGTGACCTCTATAACCTCTGAAAATATGATTGGCACATTTGGAAGCAGAAAGGAAAGCTTAAATCCATTGCCTGCCCCTCCCCCGCCCTGGAGACTTCCCACTCCTAAATCAGGTAGTTGCCTAGCTTTCCAGTAACCACGTCAAGGAGGCTGAGCTGCAGCACTGACCTCACTCAATAGCCCTGCTGCATAACAGAGGTACTAGGCTGCTGGGTCATATGACTGAGGGACTTTGGTAACACAAGATGTGTGCTATTCACTGTAACTATATTAAGAACATTTCACAGGCTCCTGCCTCCTGTTTTAGTTCACTTACTGGGATCTGGTATCGCTGATTTAGAAAACACACATCTCTGCAATAGTAAGGGAAATCTGTACGCCTCCCAGTCACTGCAAGAGCCTATGAGGTGACCATGAGGGGGCTAAACTTAGTGCTGTTCATTTTAAAGAGGGTAGGTGATCACACAAAGGGAAAGGGAGAGTGTCAGGGAAACTAAGAATGTTAGGAAGGGATTCGCTGTTAGAGACCGGCAAATTCAGAGTCTTTTTACTGAGATCAAAAAAAAAAAGAAGCTATATTCAAAGTGAAGGACTTGCTGCATAATCACATTTCTGCTGTAAATTTCACTATGCCCCTCTCCCGGAGCCAGTTGCAAATGCATGCAGAAATCAGATAAATAATCTGCTGGAGAAAATCAATTAAAGTAAACAGTGTAGCCAATGAAACAAACTAAATAATCTAGCCCCAGAAACTGAGTAAATAACCTTGCTTGAAATTGCCTAAATCAACCCTAAGGTAGGGAAACAGAAGAAACGCATGAAACAAATCAATATTAACAGATGGACACAAAACCGCTTTCATCTAAAACCTGCCTCTGCTTGTGATAGGATATTTGGGTTGTGCCTTCTGCCTTCAGGTGTAGGTATGAATTCATTGACATCACTGGGGTTGTGCCCAGTCCATACCATTCATGAATTTTTCCCCTCGTATCTAACCATTGGGTAAGCGAAAACAGTTCCATTATGTCATTTTCCATAAGAGGAGGGATTTGTAAAAATATGGCTTCTAACTGGCTGAAGCAGGCAGCAAGTTCACTCTAAGGGCCAATCAGCTTTTTTTAATTATTATTTTTGTTTTAAATGTAAGGAAAAAAAGAAATCTTGCGCAATCAGTTTCCATTCTGTAATAAATATACTAATGGCCTTGGGTGTGTTTGCTCTCATGTGATTTGGTCATTTGATGGGGGAGAGAAAAGGCTCTGCAAAGCCTTCCTACAGGATTAATTTCACGCTTTGGAGAGAAAAAAGTAGATCATGGCTTCACCTCTTACATTCTGTTATCACTAAATCTACTGGCTTCACCTTGGCACTGAGCACTGACTGTCCTCCTGTGCTAACAGCCTGGCCATGAGCTTAGAATATTGGAATATAATATTGGAAAACATGAACTATATGGCCAACCATGTTTCAGCCCATGTGCTACCACTAAGGATACAATTCTGAAAAGCCCCACAGCGTGCTTCTTAAGAGTTGGATCATCCACTCCCACTGCTTGTTCCCCACTTACTGCCACAGCCTTCTTTTTGACATCATAGTTGGTTACTGTGGAGTCGATTATGATGCCATTTGCAGGTAATTATGATATTCAGGTGAGAATAAAGGCAGCAGGAGTAAAGAACTTGGGTCTGTGTTACACCACTCTGCCAGGGTCACTATTGTGTTTGCACTGTTGGGTTGACATTAATTTGCACTTAAATGACAGATATATACTAAGAATTAATTTCTATTTGTTAGTCACTCAATTCAGCCACATTTTCAGAATGTCATATAGTAGGAGGGAAACTTCAGAGGCCAAAGTAAAGTATGAGAAGCCCAACTCCCATTGAAATTAGGCAGACATCTGCACAAAATTCTTTTTTCTGACTTTCTAAATCTCCCCTTCGTAAATTCAGATGGTTACAACAAGCATTTTGGAAGTTCAGTAGTTAGACAATATCTTACCTTAACAAAGAAGGCAAAGCTCCAGGAACATATACAATTACCAGCTGATGATTTTCATGCAATAAATGTCTTAATACATCCAAAGGTTTGCATCAGAGTGCTCAGAACTGTTAAGCGTGTGTGTTAGACATTGCAAATACTGACTCACATTGTTTTTCCACCCCATTTAACTGAACAGGATGATAGGAGTTAACTGAACAGGATGATAGGAGTAAGTTAGCTACATGAACAGAGGTGTACAGGATGAGCCCTCAGGTGAGAATTATAATATGTGTTGTCCCTACGGTAGAAGAGTCGGGGGAAAAAAACAAATTTTTAAAATGTCTGCTTCCTCTCTATAAAAAGCCAGCAGCTTTGACCTTAAACCCCATCCCAACTTTCAGAGCATGGCTTCAGGCTTCTCTTCCCCCTGCCAACCTCCAGGAGGATTCTTGGTGAGCTAGTAGCAGTCCTCAAGCCTTCTTTTGACTATTTTATTAATTGAGACTGTGCATGGATTCACACAACACCAACAGAAGTATTTGTTTCAGTAGATCCATAATGTGCAAAAAACATTTAGACCTTAAGTGTTAGCACGAGGGTTAGACACTGCTAAGTCCCAGTAATGTTTAGGGCTCTCACTCTGTACTTTCACAGTAATTTCTATCTACAAATCTCACAGTACTTCTCAAAAGTGACAAGCATTATCATACTCATTTAACAGATGGAAAAACTTTAATTAAACTGCTCCCCCTGACCCCAGAGCACATGTAAAGACACCCTTTAATTCCAAGTTGTAGAATGGCTCCAAGAGCCATTGTAATTAAAGTGCCCACAGTGTCATGAGTATCCAGTGTCCTGCCTTCAAAATGGCAGTGGGGGCATTTTAACTAAAACTTGTTTGACAAGCTTTAATTAAAGCACCCCCACCACCATTTTGAAGTATGGAGACACTGAATACATGAGACGCAGAGACCGCTGGAGCATGCTAATTAACTGAGTCTGCTCAGAAGTGTGCTAATTAGCACACATCCAAGCTGACGTCCGGCACGTGTATGAGTGCCCTAACTGACCTGCCCAAGGCCCCAGACCCCTGCTGCGAGTCAGCATCCAAGTGGGAAATACAGCTCTGGAGTCTTTGCTCCCAGTCTCCTGCTTCTAACCAGATACTGTCTTCTTCCACCTGTACATACTCCCACTCTACTTTTCACAAGTTAAAAGTAAATAGCGTGGTCTAACTTACCTATGATAAATCTTATTAGGCCTAAATCAAAATGTTGAGACCTGTTTCATGGATGACTGTTTTGCCATTTTTTCCCAGTGGTTGACAGAAAAAGGTAATTGGGAAAAGGTTAATGTTGAGCAGCACGCCTGTATGCCCAAGACTGTGTACTCATGCATCTGTATTTACACATGCAAACATGTGGGAATGTTTGCCTCCCTGTTTTCTGGCCTGCGTGCACATATCTGTGCATGAGAATGCATGTGCCTGTGTGTTGGTATAAGTGGCACTGGGGCCTTGTATGTACTCATGCCTGCTAGCTGAAAAGAGTAAAGTTGATTGAAGTTCCTCTAACATGTGAAGGCCTGTTTGCTCATATAAATTAAACTGTGGCCAAACATCATCCACATGCTTTACAATGTCCTTGTTAGAAGTAGCTCTGCGATGATGAAGGTCTCAGGCCAGAAGGAGGGCGTGTCAGGTCTTTGGATCTGGGTGTGTAAACAAGGGCACAACAGATTTTGTGAGTATAAACTCTGCAAACCTATAAGACTAAACTTCTGTGACATATTTATGTTTCCTCATACACAAATCACATTGACTCTCACACTCCTCTATCACGCAAAGTCACCAGACTTCAAACGCAGTGGAGGAGGCAGCTGGATTCACTAAACAACATCTTGGGCACTGTGAACGTGTGCCAGATAATAAAGGGAGAATCGCAATTAAAATGTCAAGCTGTATCGCATTTCCATAACAAAGTCAGAGAGGATTTCCCTCTATATGCCTTTCCTTTCCTTTCTGTTTACCTTGTTTAGGGAGCTGAGGCTGTTTTGAGAGACATACACAGTGTATTGTTATTACAATATTTGCTTCCTACATGATATAATGTGTTGAATGCCAAGTGAAAATACTTCATCAGAGGAAATTGTTTAAAATAATTCTGCTTAGACCTAATTCCGTGTATAGATTCTTAGTCTTTTCTCCTTCATGAATTATTACTACTATTACAACCACTCATGACTTTTGCATTTTTGTGTCACTTTTATTGATGGATGGCAAAATACCTTACAAATATTTACAAGTTACATCCCTATAAGGTAAGTAAATATTATTGCCCCTTTCTTTTGAATGGGGTAGTTGAAGGACGCAGAACATTCAGGATGAAATCCTGTGGTTATGTGAAAAGTCAAATTAGATGATCTTAAGTTCCTTTCTGGCCTTATAATCTATAAATCTATATGGCCAAGCTGTCAAACTTGAGTGCCTAAAGTCAGGCTTTTTTAAACACCTAAAAAAAGGGAAGCGTCTGGAAGCTTCAGGTGCTCAGCACCACTAAAACTCAGGCCCTTTTTACTTTTGTGTTTAAATGAGGCTTCAGGTACCTAACTTTAGGCATCAAAAAGTTTGCTCTAAATGGCTTGCCCTTCTCCCAACCTCTTCAAAATCATACAGTGAGATGCAAGGGAAGAAACAGAACCTAAATTTTTGAAGAAACAAATATAACGAAACCAAAAAGTTATGAAATATAATGAAACCAGAAAGTCCTCCAAACTTTCCACAGGGGAAAAAACATTTCCCAACCAACTTTATGTAATGGTGAGGGTTAATTAATTGATATTCATGTAGTTCTTCAAGGGTGTTAGTGACAAATGTTACAAAATGGTTTTTATTGGTTGCTTTTGTATTAGACATGAACTGGGAGCTCGGGTAGAGGTTGCTTCCTAGAACAGATAGTTTATGTCCTCCTGTAGAATATCCTGAGCCCCGAGACAGCCCTTTATGACCACCATAGACACATCGCCCGTTTTGTATACTGTAGTCTCACAATGTTTCTCCTGGCTGGGACTCCCCCAAGCCTGGTGAAGGCACTTGCAACAGCTGGGTGCAAGTTTGAGCTCCCAGATTCCTGTGGTAAAGGAAATAGCAATGTTGAGGAGAAAGGTCCTGGAAACTGATGCTACTGAGCAATCTCTTTAGCGTCCCATCTGGGAAAATATAGTCTAAAATAATGTTATAGCGGTTATAGAGGCCCATATTAAGCGGAGCAGGCAGTAGTAAAATTCCACTACACTTTTTATTTTTCATTACTGAACAAAATTTGAAGCAGGTTTGAGATCCTTCACTTAGCTGATGAACAAAAAGTCCTCTCCAGGGTGGCAAAATCTTTACATCTCCATCAATTAAATTACTCTGTCTTCTGATGATCTTAGGTTCCCTTCTGGCCTTAACATCTACAGATCTATATGGCCAAAGATGTCAAACTTGGGTGCCTAAAGTTAGGCCTTTTTAACTCCCCCATCCCTCCTCCCCACCCCCAGAAGCTTAATCCCTTTTAAGTCTTCCTTAAATCGTACCCTCCATAAACCAGAGGAAACAAAATACTATGACAGGACAACTCTCTGTTCAAAAGCTGCTGGGAAATCCTGATTTTAAACTAGGTTATTAAACCAATGGAAAGAAAGAGAGAGCAGAAGACTAGGTGGACAGAACTACTGAAACCCCCTTTGTTTTGGTTCCCATCGTAATGCTATGATCTGGTAATGTAATAAAACAACAGGATATGCTGGTTCTGCAAAACATACACCCCCCACGACCTCTTGGGCTCATGGCCTGTCTCTCATAATTTGCCAGCTGACAAACTGTAAGGGAAATATAGTCTTATAGCTAAGATACTGGGCTGAGTTCCAGGAGATCTAGATTTAGTTCCTGGATTTGCAAAAAGATTATAGGGCACCTTGGGTAAACCACAACCTCTCTCTCCCTGTAGTGTATGTTCCCTACCTGTGAAATGGGGATCGAATCATCTGTTCCTCCCTTCTGGATGTGTCTGGTTGATAAATCCATCACGGTATGTGAGGCTCTAGAATACTGTCATGATAAGAGCTGTAAAGAAAGAAATTTAGCTCTGCTGGAAAAGAACAAATACACTGCAGCAGCAGCAGCAAAAAAGGGACACTGATTCTCTGTTCTGCCATCTTGGCATATTTGACCACATATCCTCCTATTCACCCACCTATTGATTTTTTTGATTTTTTTTATTCCACAGTCCTGAGGTTCCCAGACTCTCTAAAACTCTCCGTTCGAGCCATTGAGTCATGGGGTCCATCTCACTTTGAAACCTCCTCTGCCTGCCTCTTGCCATTGACTGAATTTCCCTGCAGCACTTTGGTGTGGAGCATGTGTTACATTGTTTACTGTAGTCTCACACATATCATCTCAAAAGTTTTCCTGCATAATTACTGGTGTAGGGTGGTGAATCAGTTGGCCTGAGCTTTTGAGCTCCACAGAGACTGACCCCCTTATGGAAAGGCCGTATACCATTTAATAGAAAAATATAACCCTTTCTCCACTTGACAATGGCTGGGCAGGTGGTGAGCTGGGCCTGCCACTTGTTATGCTAATCTTAATCATCTCATTGTTACCTTGTGGTCCCCCCATCTGTTAATTGTGTCCACCTGTTTGTTGCCTCTAGTCATAGCACGAGACTACAACTGTTCGGGAACAGACATCTTTTCAGCCTGCGCGTACTTGGCCCACCTCAGTGGGTTTCGATCCATAACCAAGGCAGCCAAAAGCTACCACAACACAAAAACGACTACCGAGAACGCCCCTGTAGGATTTAACAGAGTTACAACCGTGCAACAGGAACCTGCAGTGTGGGCAACAGAGCAGCCTTGGGAAAAGATCTTAATATTTGTTTTATTCTTTAGGCTCCTCGAGTCATTTCTGCAGGTCCCTGCCAACCTCGCTGTCACCCATTTCCATCTGCCTTTCCCCTCAGGGACGGAGGCAGAACTGCTAGAGAAACCGGTCTCCATTGCGGACCAGGATCCCATTATAATAGGCACAGTACAACCACTTCGAAGTGCATGGGCCCAGTTCTTCCCTCACAGTCCTTCTGTCGTAGCACTAGAAGAGAACGAGTCTGGAGTTACAATCCTCCATTTTATTTTTCCACCTCACTTTCCACCAGCCCCATACACTGCCCCTGCCCCCTGAACAAGATAGCTCCAGGCCCATGAACTCTTAGGCTCTCACCTCTTACCAGTTTTGTGCCCTCTACATCGCCCCTCCCTGTGGATACAGTCTCATTTGCTATCAGCCCCTCACCTTCGAATAAGTGTCCCCACTTCAAACACAAGTGCAGAGTTTCCCTATTTTAGTCATAATATTTCATCTTGTAACTGCAAGAATGGGTTGGCAGGTGGAATTGTTGCTACATTTTTATCATTTAGTCAGTATATACAGAGACAATGATAAAGCACCACAATCAGTGGCTTATCTTAAACATCCAACGTGTGGTTGATACCACAAGAGCACACGAGACTGGTACAACAGCTTGGACTGCAATTTTTCCTCTTACTGTACATGGGTGATTTTGCTTTCATTTTTTTTTTAAACTTGATTTCATGAAAAGCAGAGGGAGACTTTGCAAACAGAAAGAGATCCTCATTATGTATTCATTGCATAGGAACTCCCTCCTTCAAACTTATCATGTGAGGGGGTCCCTTCCCTGACAATTTCACTTGACAAAGGGAATCTTTTGTATTTCCATTTTACAGATGGGAACTGAGGCATGGAGACTGTGGGTGACTTTCCCACCAGCGCACAAAGTAGGCAGAAGAGCTGGTAACTGAACCCAAATTAACCAAATTCAAGTCTAGTGCCTTAAGCACACAGCTGTTCTTCTAAGGTAGTAATAGTTTCCATTATCACAATATGAAAGTACCACATGATCTTTAGCATACTTTTCCTCACCCCTGTGAGGTGAGGGCAGTGCTGCCATCCCTTCTTGATTACAAGAGTTAAGGCACAGAGAGACTACGTGACTTGCCCAAGGTCACCTGTGAAGTCTGAGATAGAGGAGAGACTTGAACATAGGTCTCCTGAGTCCCGGATTACCATTCCCACCACTGGGCCAGCCTTCCTCTGTCCTCTTCCATGAGGAGTCCTTCCCGTGGTTTATGCTGCCTCCCTAGAAACAGGAAGGTGATTCCTGTTTACTTTCCATTCACCAGACACTGACTGTTTTTACCCCTGTAGAAGGACAGTCATGCTACTTTGAGTCCTTCCTTGACTGTGCATAGTATTCTGTGGAAACGCACAGTAAATTTACTGCACAGTAAAGCCAAATAGCATTAACTGCACGTGTAGATGCGCCCAGTGAGTAGAAGCTAAACTGTGGTTGCTTAGCCCTTAATGAAAAAAGGGAAGTTACTGTGGGCTTATTCACAGAGTAAGGACGTGCAACTGGTAGCTACCATGAAACATCTGCCATCGGTAAGCCGCACCTCCTTTTGCCCACAGTAAGTTGTTCATATGTCTATATCAGGGGTGGGCAATTATTTTGGGCAGAGGGCTGCTTACTGAGTTTTGGCAAGCCATCGAGGGCCACATGACAGGCAGCCAGGGGCAGATAAATATTAATTTTCTAAATCTTTTAGGGGCCGGATAGAATGGCTTGGCGGGCCGCATCTGACCTGCAGGCTGCATTTTGCCCACCCCTGGTCTATATCCTTTGATTCCACAACACAAGCAAAGGAACATAAATACTCTTACTGCATGGGACCAGTTTTGTTGCAGGGGGTCCAGGACATCACACACCAGCCACCGCCAGCTCCAGTCCTGCCAGACCCTTATTTTGCTACACTGAGGGATATCAGCTGCAGGAGAGAGCCTGACTGTAGGCTAGATCATCAAGACCTGACTTGCATAGCCATATGATCTATCCCAGCGTGTTAGCTATCCATCTCCGTGTGTGTGCTTAGTCTGAGATTTTCCAAGCTACTTGTGGGATTTAGATGCCCCTAAAATACAGATACAAACCTGTTAGGCATGAATGAAATCTCAGCCTTGGAGAGAAGTTTTACATCGTTATAAAAGCCCCACCTTTTAGGAAAAGGGGAAAGAAAAAGGAAGAGACAGAAAGAGAAAGTGCAAGAGTGAGCATCTCTTTTGTTTACTTCATTCTTCAGCAGGTAGCCTTGTGATCCTGTGCTATTTTGGGATTGACATTCTTCATAGGTTACTGTAATAAGAAGCAAACACCATGAACTAAAATAACAACATGGACCTAAATGCGATTCTTGGATTGCTACCCTAGTGACTGACTCATTAATAATAGCTGCTGGGTTTGTAATTTAGCATGACCTGTACAGAATCAGTGGGTGCCAGTTAAGGGCTGCAGTGGGTTGAAAGGAAGAAGGCACTGTCCAGAACTGTGCACCACATGATGGTTCCCCCGCAGTTTTTATTCATAATCTTATGCTAATTTCTTGGAGGAACAAGGCTCATACCAACCCTGGGACATGCTTTTTTTTGCAGCACTTTAATCTTCAGTGCATTAATGTCATGTGCATTGTGTCATCTTTAGTCACATGCTGTAGTGATCATTTCAGTTACATGGTAGGTATCATATTGTGTCAGGGGAAAGGGGAACATCATGCCAATAAAAAATAATGTAAGTGATCATGTACTGCAAAGAAATAATCCATCAGTGGGCTCAAGAGACTTTTTAATCCATCCAGTTATGGTACCAAGGAGTTTGTCACCAAACCCGCAGATGAAATTTTCTTGCATGACTCTGCTATTTTGTTATACAATATAAAGCTCTTAGATAGTCAGCCAGTCAGATTACTAAACCAGACACCTTCTTCCTGATTGTTAAACCAGCATAAAAGCCAGATGGAAACATATCTGTTGTCTCCGGGACTGAACCACATGGATGCCTGGATGTTGCTTTTTAGCTAGACAGCTGCTTTATATACAAGAGGGTTTTAATGTAATAAAAATAACCCACTTTATTTTCAAAGCCATGTCAGAGTTTTATAGATGGGAAGAAGTGCTGCTCTCCTTGTGAAACTTCAGAGCATTGCACTGAGTACAAAACAAAGGCAAGCTTTCTCTTGAAGGCCATCCTGGAAAATACAGCACAGTGCATGACATCCTCCTGCTGATATTCTGGTGACCCAGTTATATAATGCAACCTGAGCCACGAGAGGACTCTGACTTTACCTGATTAAATTATTAGCCGTCTCTGGACAAACATTTCACAAGACTGCCTTGGAGACTAAAGGTATTTCTGATGTGAAGTTTTGGGTATCAGATCAATGGGAAAGAATCGCCCAATCTAGATGGTTTGCTTGTAAACTGGAAGTACTCTAAACCTGTGGCACAAGCTGCCACTGCCCATGAAATGAATCTCCAGCCGTCGTATATATTTAAACCTATCCCCCAGGGTCACAATGTCCCCTGGAATTGTCTATAGCAAAACCACTTCTTGAAAGCAGTTATTTAGTGCATTAAAGATTGAGGCAGAAATCTTGTCTTTCCATGAAGGAATCACACGTTGGATGGGTGTGCAATGGTGCAGGCAGTCTGGTCAGCAGCAGTATACTGCCAGACATGCTTTGCTTCCCCTTTGAAATGAACCAATGCAAACCTCTGACTAGTGCATGTTACTGGCTGCAGTGCACTAGATAGCTCTGGATATGCTGCTCTTTAACTGGCAGTGTGCTCCCTACCGGGACCATGGGGTGTCAGTCAACCTAACAGCTATTTTGCCATTTTAGCATTAGCAAGAGGTAGTCTCCCCCACTGCTTGTGTGGGAGGAAGGCTCTACTTTCAGTTCATGGTTCCTAAGGACTGTGTATACACATTCCCCAGAGTGCACCGTGCTTTATAAAACATTTGAAATCAGAAACTGGACATTTGGATGCATAGCAGCCCTGCTTTCTCTGTCCAATGTCAGCTTAAGTCTTGGGAAAATGGCCAATTTTTTTACCCCCTTGAGACTCTCAGTTTCTATTGGCGCTTCTTTTTTTTTACTCAATATATATTTAACCTATGGGACTATTACCCATAGATATCATTGAAGCCAGGAGCTGATCTTGGTCACCATCCCTCCACAGGTACTGCCATGATATGCTCCCCTGCCTCCTTACTGCTGCTTCATATATCTTCTGAGAGCTTTCCAAAAACTTTGGCAGAGATCTTTTTTTGAGGAGCAGAGACCAGGAGTTGAGAATTCACTCTGCCCTCCACTGAGAGAGAAAGACTAGGAAATGCAACAGACATCTTAGAATTTGTGGGACTTGTCTCCAGATAATTGAAGAAGTTCCTAAAAGGATCATGGTTTATTTTCATGTATTCCCTGAAGTCCTGTTGACATCTCTACTTCAGAGAGCAACCCTGGGCACTGTATGTGAGAGGAGCTGGGGGGCTGGACCCGATGATCTCACAAAGTCCCTTCCAGCCCTAAACTGTGAATCTGTGTGAGCCGGGGCAATGATGGACACCTTGTAACACACTGCTGCCTGCCCCCTGGACCTGCTAAGGACTTCTCTGTCCTCTAAAGTAGACACAGCCATGGGGGCAGTGCTGATGGGAACAGCAAACTCAGAAGGGGCCATAGTTTGACAAGTAAATACGGCTGAAGATTCATGTAGGAATTAGGGTTAGCCATCCTATCTAGGTTTCCTTTGCCCCCTACAAGATCAGGGAGACCAAATGCAGCTCTGAAAATACATTTAAGAAGGTAGCAGTTCATATATTTTTGTTCTAATGGAAACCTATTCATTTTGTGCAAGTCACATGGTACGGCATATCTTATGGAAAGGAGAGTACAGTTGAACACCGTCTGTATAGAGCCCTTGAAGTATGAAAGAGCTGCGTAAAGTATCTGGAAGTAAACTGTATATGGGACATGCATGTTTGCAGTGGGATGGACCTCAGACTCTCATGTGAAATGGTAATGGCATGTACTTTCTAGTCATTCCACCTACTGTAAAAGTACCAACAGTTCTTGGTGGGAAAGGCTCCAGTTTTTTTTGCAAACAGTTTCTTCAAGCCGCCCTTTCCTATTATAGAGCTCCAACTCCCAAGCCATCTGAAGGCAGAGAGTACAAGTCCATTTAACAAGCATTGTGTATGCTACTTGCTGGTGTGCTGCCAGGATCCCACACAGATCAACCTGACCCAGCCAGAGAGATCATTGAGAAATGAGAGCAAGAGAAGAAGAAATCCTGAAAATCACAATGTTAAACCCTCCCACCTGATTTGTAAAGCAAAAACCAGCCCAGACCAAATATAAATAGAGGCTCCACAGCCAAAACAACCAGGCTGCGGAAGGTCAGACAATCTTAAATATACATATCGCAGCAGGAGAGACATTCTGCTCACCCGTTCAAGCACGTGGAGGGTGGGAGTTACACGGGGGTCTCAAAAGGGGCTGTTATTGGACGTTCTTGGACCTCTAGCCCTGTTTGAAAGAGAGCAAATACCAGACTGGAAGAAATCATTGCTCCATCTACCCACAGACTGGCACCCTGTGTCTGACCGTGGCTAATTCCAGAAGCTTTCCCAGTCACTACCCTTCATACTGCATCTGGACAACTCTGCACTCCTATACTGGGCTGGGGGTGGGGGGAAGTTAACGGGAAGGGTTTTCCTTCTGACCCTGCCAGGAGAGCAGTTCAAGCATGAGGACTGAAGAACTTTTAACTGCACGTGCAGTTCTTTGTCCCCCAAATCTCTTGATCCCCTTGAATTTTATCAAGCTATTAGCCCCAGTCCTGCAACCATGCCCTTCCCACCACTGTGATTTTTTTTCTTTCCTGAAATGCAGGTGTTGCTGTTGACCGAGCATTGTTCATAAGATCCCCCTGAAAAAATGTATCTACTGTATCTACTAGTAGGGGTGGGGGCAGCCACCCCAGAGAGAGGGGAACCCCCTCTCAAGAGGGGAGGCCTTGCTGTTTGCTGATGTCACCTTCTTGCTTAGGGAGTGCCATGATGTCTAAAGGATGTCCAACCTCAGGGGCCTTCTGGAATGGATTGGATTGGCTCATTTGCTGGGTGTCCTGGAGATCCCAGTTTTTACATGGGGTGTGGATAGCTGGCTTTGGCTAGTACAGCCCCCATCCTCATCCCCTACAGTACACATCCTATCACTGTGAGCAGGGTTTGAATTACATTTTGATTCTGGGAGGTCTGCAAAAAAATATTTTTTTTAAATTGGGCTGCCCATCACGATGCCCTAATAAAATCAGAACCACCCCCAGGTTAATCAGAAGCCCCCCCAGGTTATGATTTTCAAATCTTACAGGGGGGCTCTCAGCTCCCCCATAATTTGAACCCTGACTGTGAGATCTGCATGCACCCCTGGATACAGAGGTGGAAGTAAACTATTCTAGAGCTGACCCGAGCCCAGCCATTATCTGCGCATTAGCACGTAGGCTCAGAGCGCGTCAGGGTCTGAAGGATGTAGAAGTTTACAGGCCTTATACTGGGATGATAGCTGGGAATACTGGTCTTTGGAAACATTTATAATGTAACTGATAGTAGGAAAATATGACATACCCTGGGTAGGGCACCAAAATAGTTAAGTCTCAAAAGAGGAGAGAACAGGGAGCTGTTTGCTGTTGCTGTTAGTGTGAATGTCCCAGATACTGCTGTGCTGTCACATAGTTAAGGTCCGTACCCTTCATGAATTAATGGCAGCAACAGCTTCTGAGGGTTGCAGACAGCATGGGTGGGCATACTAGCAGGCCTGGGGGCAATGGTGGGTGGGCATGAAGAATTAAGCAGCACACAGACATGGAGCCCTGCCCCTGAGTCTGGATTACAGA